TGGGGAGGCACCATGGTACTTGGCCCCCTGGGGGCTGCGGGCGGCGGAGCCGGCGCGGCGGCAGGAGGTACGGCTGGATGACAAGGTGCTGCTGCGGGTGCCCGATGCCACGCTACGCCCGGGACAGCGTTTCACCGCCACCCTCGCCGTACGGCACAACTTCACCGCCGACCAGCTGACGCTTCGGTGAGACCCCCCGGGTGGGCAGAGGACCCCTGCGGAGGGTGCCGGGTGCTGGGAGGGGGACGCTGTGTGACGGGAGTCCTGCTGGCAGGATCAAGGCGAAGAAGGGGCTGCAGGTGGTGGGCGCCCGCCCCGGGTCCCCCACCGCCTGGACCGCCCAGCTGGAGCGCACCCGGGGTCCCAAGCACTCAACGGCCGTGGTGACCTGCCGGCGGAGCGGGGACACCCGTGGCGGCTGGAGGTAGCTGCCCTCGTCCTTGGGGACCCCCGGTATGGGAGGGGGCTTCTGCATGGGGGCCCAGTGCAGCCCAGGGGGGCCCAGTACAGCCCAGTAGTGCCCAGTCAGAGCAAAGGGGACCTGTGCATGACACTGCCCCCATTCCAGTATGACCTGGTTGGAGCAGGGGGACCTGTACATTGCATCATCCCTGTCCCAGTATGGCCCAGTTGGAGCAGGGGGACCTGTGCGTTGCACCACTCCCATCCCAGTATGGCCCAGTCAGAGCAGGGGGTCTTCTGTGTTGCACCACTCCCATCCCAGTATGGCCCAGTCAGAGCAGGGGGACCTGTGCATTGCACCACTTCCATCCCAGTATGCCCCAGTGGGAGGGCTGGGGGGCACGGGGCAGCCCCGACCCCCGTGCGGTGGCACAGGGCGGCCGACTCCGCCGCGTTCCTGCACCTGGACCTGGCGGTGGAGAACGGGACGGGGGGGCTGGCGCCGGCGCGGCCCCTCACCTGGCAGGTGGAGTACCCCGGCCAGGACCCCGAGGCCCAGAAGGACAAACTGGTGTGGGAGATCCAGGTGTCGGAGCGGGACGTCCGTGCCCTCGTTCCCCTGGTGCAGGTGGGTGCCCCCCACCCCGGCTCCCCCTGGCCCCACGGGGCCACGTGCTGAGCCCCGCTCTGCCCCGCAGGAGCTGGAAATCTTGAACACGGCCCCACTGACGGGGGTCCCCCGTGCCATACCGGTGAAGCTCGTGGCGGTGGGGGGGAGGGGGGTGGGCGGGGGGCCAGGCCCCCCGGGGCCGCCAGGCTGCGAGTCGGCCGACAAGCAGGTGCTACAGGTGAGTGGGGCCCCAGTGTCCCCCTGGTGTCCCCCCTACCCTGCCCAGGGGCTGCCCGCTCCCCCTCCTCCTCTGCGTGCCCCTCACCCAGGTCTCGGATGCCTGCGACGCTGTGTTCGTGGGGGGCAAGGAGAGCCGGGGGGCACGGGGGGCACGGGTGGACTTCTGGTCCCGGCGCCTGCACGCCTCGCTGCGCTTCACCGTCTGGGCACCGCTGCTGCCCCTGCGCGTCCAGCTGGGCGACACCGCGCTGGAGCAAGTGCGGGGCTGGCGCCTGCCCGGCGGCCCTGAGAGGTGAGCCCAGCACCCGGGGGTCCCTGCCACCGTGGCGGCGGGCGAGGAGGGAGCTGGGAGCGGGTGCTGAGCCCCACCGCACTCGTGACATGTGCCACCGCTCCGCTGAGCCCCCTGGTGTTTCAGTGCGCATCCCTGCCCCGCTAGCCCCGTGGCACCCATGAGATGCACCCCTGCCCTGCTGAGCCCCACGGCACTCGTGACACATGTCCCTGCCCCACTGATCCCCACAGTGCTTGGGGTGGGCACCGCTGCCCCACTGAGCCCCCACGCATTCATGACACATCCCCCCGTGGCACACACCCCAGAAGCCCCACTGAGCCCCGCAGGGCCGGTGACACCGGTGTCCCCGCCACCCCGCAGCGCCCTGGCGGAGGCGGAAGAGCCCGGGGAGGAGGCTGAGCGGCGGGCACGGGGCTGCCGGCCCCAGTACCAGCGGACGGCGGTGAGGGTGCTGGCACACTTCGTGGCCCACCCGCTCGACGGTGGCCGTCACCTTGCTTACCTGCCCGGCCCCGACTGGCTCCTGGATGTCACCCACCTGGTGGCCGACCGGACCTGGGTGCAGGACCCTCGCGTGGCTTCGCTGGAGGGGGGCACTGTGGTGGGGGGCCGGGAGCCTGGGGTCACCTCCGTGGAGGTAGGCTTGGGGGCTCGTCTTTTGGGGGGAGATGCAGGGGGTGGAGGGGTGTCCTAGGGGCAG